TTGAACTCAGGTCTTCTGGAAGAGCAGGCAGTGCTCTTAACCTCTGAGCCATCTCCCCAGCCCTCATCACTAACTTTTTAAACAAAGGATTTCTTTTACTTTATTAATATTTTTTTTGTAACAGGGTCTCACTATGTAGCCCTGGCTGTTCTGGAATTTACTATGTAGGCCTGGGTGGCCTTGAACTCACAAAGATCTGCCTACCTCTGCTTCCCAAGTACTGAGATTAAAGAAGTGCCCCACTATACCCAGCTTTATTTTCTTTGAGTATCTGGATGCCCATGGAGGCCAGCAGGAAGTGTAGGATCCCTTGGATCTAACGTTACAGGCACTTGTGGGCAGCCCAGTGTTGGTGTGGGATCTGAACTCTAGTCTCCTGACAGAACTGTGAGTGCTCAGAACAGCTGAGCCATCTCGACAGCTTCTTCTCCCTGCTAGAATACCATTTTCCTGCCCTTCCACATCCTCCTTCAAGTCTTGTTTTTCCTTTGACTTTTTCTTATGCTGAAGTCTCAAATTTCTGGTACCTTTCAGGTAATCACTCTTTAAATTTTTATTTTGTATTAGGCAGTTAGGTTTTTGAGATGAGGCTTTCTGTAGCTCAGGCTGGTTTGAACTTGCTTTGTAACTTCTGTTTCTGATCCTTCTGCTTCTACCTCTCCAGTGCTAGGATCTTAGGTATACATCACCACATGTAGTTTATGTAGTGCTGGGAATAGAGCCCAGGTCTTCGTGCATGCTGGGCTAGGACTATCATTACCAGACTTCCCCCCTGCCCTTTTTGTTTTGTTTTGTTTTGTTTTTTCTTGTTTTGAGACAGGTTTCTCTGTGTAACAGCATTGGCTGTCCTGCAAGTCACTCTGTAGATCAGGCTGGTCTCCAACTCACAGGGATCCTCCTGCCTCTGCCTCCCAGGTACAGGGATTAAAGGCACACACCACCATCAACCAACTAACTAGACCCTTTTTTATCCATCCATCCATCCATCCATCCATCCATCCATCCATCCATCCATCCATCCATCCATCCATCCATCCATCCCTCCCTCCCTCGTGTGTGTGCGTGTGTGTGTGTGTGTGTGTGTGTGTGTGTGTGTATACATGTGTGCATGGTTGTGTTTTCCATGGCATGGGCATGAAAGTTCAAAAACAGCTTAAGGAGTCTGTGCTTTCTTTCCACCATGTGGATTCCAGCATCAGACTCAGGTTTATCAGGCTTAACAGCCTCACTTTTACCTGCTGACCTATCACTGACTCATATGTGTGTGTGTGTGTGTGTGTGTGTGTGTGTGTGTGTGTGTGTGTTTATTTTGGTGTCTGTGGGGGAACAGTGGACATGCCCTTGAGTGTGGGTGCATGCCCACATCTGTGAAGGCTAGAGAAGGTTGTTGGATGTGGGGTGGTTTCTTCATGGCTTTGCCTGATTGCTTTGAGCCAGAACTTCTCACCAAATTGGAAGCTCGTCATTTTGTGTAGCTGTTCACCCGGCCATTGAAGTCTCGGGATCCATCTGCCTCTGCCCCCAGTGCTGTGGTCACAGGCATGTGCAGCCCTCCAGGCTTTTTTACCTGGGTGCTGGGGAGAATTAAAACTGAGTCTCTCACTGAGTTATCTTCCCAGCCCCTATTCCCATTTTTAAAAGTAGATTTGTGTGTTTATTTATCTATATTTTTATTCCGAATGTGTATATACATGGAGTCTAACAAGGAAGTAGAAGTCAGAGGACAACTTGCAGCCACTGGGACTCTCATACCATCCTATGGGTCCCAGAGATCAAACTCAGGTTGTCCGGCTTGGCAGCAAGAGCCTTAACCCATTGAGTTATCTTCCCAGCCCTATTTATCTTTTTTAGACAGGGACTTTCTGTGTAGCCCAGGCTGGCCTCAAACTTGAGACCATTATACTGCCTAGGCTTCTTGAGTACACAAGAGCTGCAATGTGTATCTAGGGACTAGGGCTCCTTTGCAGCTCTTCCCAGTCCAAACCTCAGCCCCTCGAGTGCTAGCATTATAGGCTTGAGCCACTTTTATGTTGTGGACTCCTTACCTTCTTTTAAAAGTTCTTTTGTTTTTTGTTTTTTGTTTTGAGGGGGTTTTGACAAGACAGTGTAGCAGGTAAAAGTGCTTGCCACTGAGTCTGATACTTGAGTTTTATCCCCAGGACCTATGTGGTGGAGGAAGAGAACAGATTCTCCTAAGTGCCCTCTTCTGAATCATACAGGTCAAGACACACATGTGCTCCTGCCCCACAACATAAATAAATGGAAATTTAAAAAAATAAATTGGGGGGCTAGAGAGACGACCTCATTGGTAAACTTCTTATCTTGCAAGCATGAGCATTTGAGTTTAGATCCTTAGAATTCACTTTAAGAGTTGGGTGCAAGCCAGGCGTGGTGGGGCACGTCTTTAATCCCGGCACTTGGGAAGCAGGTGGATCTCTTTGAGTTTTAGGCAGCCTGGTCTGCAGAGTGGATTCCAGGCTATCCAGAGATACATAGTTAATATTAATACCCTGTCTTTGAAGAAAAAGTTTCTAGAAAACCAGTAGAATCAGTGAGTGGGCTGGGCTGTTCAGTGGAGAGCACTAACCTAGAGTGTGCAAGACTCTGGGATCTATCTCTGGCATCATACAATAAGTGACAAGAAAATCAAGCCAGCTTTGGTAGCACACTCTTGTAATTCCAGCATTAGGGAGTTACAGTCACATTCCAGGTTTTCCTGGGTTATGTAGCAAGACCCTGTTTAGAAAAACCAAGCCAAGCTGAGTGGCAGTAGTGCACATCTTTAATCCCAGCACTCAGGAGGCAAAGGCAGGTAGATCTCTGAGTTTGAGGACACCTTGGTCTACAGAGTGAGTTCCAGGAGTTCCAGGACAGCCAGGGCCACACAGATAAACCCTGTGTCTAAAAACAAAACAAGAAAAGGGGGAGGGGATGGCTGGAGAGATGGTTCAGCCATTAAGATCTCTGGCTGTTCTTCCACAGGACCTGCTGTGGTGATATCTGACTTGTACAAATAAAGCCTCTCGGAAGGTCATAGAGTGGAGCTTGCCATAGAGGTCTGGAGGTCTCTATGGACAGACAGGAAGTGAGGTAGCTGGGTGGAAGCAGGAGATAAGCAGGGAGAAACCCACAACCTGGTATCCACATGGCAGCTCACACTTCTCTGTAACTCCAATTCCAGGGCTTCTGACACCCTCATACCACATACATGCAGGCAAAACACCAGTGAACATGAAATAAAAATAAACTTAGAAAAGAAAAAAAAATCAAACCAAATCTAACCAACTAGGACAATAGTACATCCTAAAGGAAACTTATTTGACAGAGACCGGGAAGGGGCTGAGGGGCATAGCTTCAGGTCCTAGAGCTAAAGTTCCTTCATGGTACACTGTTTTCCTAGTGGTGCATTAACATTTGCAACAACTGCCAGCTTTTTTTTTTCCGGTTTTTCCAAACAGGGTTTCTCTGTGGCTTGGGAGGCTGTTCTGGAACTAGCTCTTTTAGACCAGGCTGGTCTCGAACTCACAGAGATCCATCT